AGAGTTGATGGGGACTCTGCCCCTAATACCCCCCCAGGATTTAGGGTGAGTAGTGCTTTCCACAATCTATTTCCTTCTATCTGTAGTATTATCATTTGTGTCTGCAGATTATTTCTTGCACTAACAACTGCAATTTTGGAAACTTTCTACAGCATGGATGCACTCACCAGAGACTAAGGCCCCATGTCACAAAATGTATTAAAACAATCTAAGTTGCCGGGATTGGCTGTACCCTTCATGCACTACCTGAGGGGAGGACTGATAGGGGGCTTCACCCCTAACATCTCCAAACAAACATTGTCTTCACTTCCCTATGCACAATCATAGTAAGATAGAACTGAAACTTGGGACTTTGGCTATGAGTGGTGCTTTCTGTAAAAATTTTCCTTTATTTGTAGTGCTACCATTCATGTCTTCAGATTATTTTTTATACCAACAACTGCAACTTATCATCTTCAGTTTACCCAAGTTTAGTGTATCCATACCATATAGATTAAGCATAACCCTTCGTCCTCTACAAGAATATCATTAGTGTGTTTATTCCATGAAGACTAACCTTAAAAGCAATTTTTAAAAGTGTGTAGTACTACACAAACTAGATGATATACCATGGCAATGGTATATCAATTGTAAACATCATGAGCAACTTAGAAAAATTGGCTGTGGTAATATATCTAAATGCTTATTATAGGCACACTATGTGAGTGCACTACTTTTTCACTTTCATGCAGTTAATTACCAAACTTAGAATAAGAATATATGAGTTCCTTTAAAACATACTGTGTTGATCTATATCTTAACCAAATGATTTTAATATTCCACTATATCCTTCCCTCTCCCTCTTCTTCCCCTCCATCCCAGCAATACACTTATTATTTTAACTTTTAGTTCATTTGTTGTCTTTGTACATTCATATTCTGGACAAACACTAAAACATTTGTCTTACAGCATAAGCACTGATACTACAAACAATATCATATTTTGCTTAGTCTTTAAGGTATGGACATACTAATGTTTGGCAAATTGAAGATGTTATTCTTATTGAGGACAAAAAGTTGCAAGTCCTTTGGGTAATTCTTTGATATCCCACAGCCATCATTATTACTTCTTTCAATTACCAATGCCGTAATATACGTGAAACTCTTGTTGTTTTTCATTTAAAATGATATAAATGAAGGTACTGGTAATGTTTACAAAGTGACTGCACCCCTCTGAGATTAAGTCCCTATTACTCAAACCATTCCTGAGAAATCCACAAACATTGCTGTGTGAAACAAAAACCATCCTATCCTGAGGGCTTTGCCCGCATATCTCCATCTAAATGCCATATTTTCCTATCAGGGGCCCCGAACTCGGACCCCAACTGATCACCAAGGATTTCTCTTTACATAGCATTTGTTCTTGAACTATTTCCTTAATTTCTGGTGCTATTTTTTACCTAAACAGATTGTCATCAATCGAAAGCAGTGTAACTAATCATACTATCATTAATGCATTAATTGGTAAAATGTAACCCTTAATTAGTTATGATGATATAAAATTCAAAGGGAATAAAACCACAAAATAGAGTTTGGTGGTGGAGAGGCTTTAGTTGTAGAACTTGTATTTATGTCTCAGGTGAAGTACTTGTGGACAATCTTGGTGGTTACTTTAACTCAAGGTAAGAACCAAAGTACCATGTGGACTATTGAAACTGCCACCTAAATAGAACACTTTACACTACAATGTCCACGTTTCTATTCCGAGAGAGCTAAACTAATAGAGGCTCTTAAAAAAAATCAAAATTAACAATCCTAGTATCTCTTTACTCATTACAGGAGATAATCATCCATTGTTTAAAAAGTACTACATTTTAAGACATATGAAGATCTTCCTACAAAGAACAAGAATAGTGAATATCATATAAAACAGAGAACAAAACTATAATCAACAAATGAGAACCTGCAATCAAAAAATAGAAGACTCCAGAAATGAAGATCCAGGGAATATAGACAAAATAAGTCTAAAACCCTATAAAAGAAGAAAGAAGAAGAAACTGCCACCTCAGCATTGATACAACCATACAACCAGCCCTCTGTCTAGGTGACCTGGCAACCCTAGGTCTAACCTTCCTGTAGGCAGTTCAGTTTTGAGCATCATTGAGTGAAAGTGAATTGGTGTTGACTCCAGGAACTCATTAGAAAAAAATGGCATAAACAGTCATAAAAACTATCATAGCGGAAGTTATCTGTAGATTCCTATTCGTCTATCCCCTGAAGTTAGTGGACGGCGGGCCAAGGAAACATATTCAAATTGTAAGTACTATTATGATACAAATTTGTGTTCTTTTGAAACAGTATTTAATATTATCCCATTATGTCATTCCTACAGAAGAGGACACTGAACAAAGAAGGGAGTCACACCACAAAGAAAATGGGCTAAACACAGTGATAAACAAAACTGCACTGTTCTTGGCCGCCTTCTTTTCCTTCTGTACATTAATGACCTTCCACTTTCGACTCCTAATTCTTCTACTAGACTTTCTGCTGACGACAGCCTTTTGTTACGACCTATAAAAACTGAAGACAACTATAGACTCCTCCAGCAAGACATTGACGCGCTTGAACAGTGGGAAAGACTATGGCAAATGTCCTTCAGACCTGACAAATGCAAAGTTCTCCATTTCACAAGATCCCACACACCTATCCATTACACCTACACCTTACACAACCATCCCTTATTAACTAAAGCAACTCACAAATACCTCAGTATCCATCTATCCAACAATCTCACCTTTAACACACACACTGACTTCATCATTAACATAGCCAACAGAACACGGGTTTCTGAGGAGGAACCTACACAACTGTACCCCGGACATGAAACACATAGCTTACAACACACTTGTACGTCCAACACTAGAGTACTGTATGGCTGTATGGGACCCCTACACTAAACACAACATTGAGAAAAGCAGGTTAATACTAGGGCTGCCAGGTTTATTACTCGCAATTACTCACATACTCCTGGTATTACATCTCACATAAAAAAAATAGATTAACATGGACCTGCTCGAGACACGAAGACAAGCACACAGACTTACAATCATATACAAAATCACAAACAAACTTGTAGACATCAACAAACATGAATACTTACACGCAGCACACCCACACAACACAAGGAACACCAGTAAATTTGTCACATACCACACCAACACTAACTCTTACAAGCACTCATTCTTTCCACGTACTAAACGCAACTGGAACAGGTTCCCCCAACACATAATCGAAGCTAACACCAACACTTCCGCTCGCACCTTGATCCTTCCCCCTTTCCCCAGCAACCAATCACTACCAATATGCATGTTATGCGCTCATTTAGCGCCCTATGCATTGATATTGAGATTGAGAGATTGAGAAAAAGAAACTACATTTACATGTGAAATCACTTGAAGTACATTGACACAAGAAATACAATAATTATTATAGAACCACCCATGAGTCTTGAATAACAATGATAAACATGAATGAACATATCAATGATACTGACATATAAAAGAATATGAGTAATTTCATTCATTTTGAGGTTTCCAGAATTAGTGATGAATGAGGGGGCAGAATGATGCCATACTGATATGAAGTTTCAAAGATCACAACTAATATTAAATCTTTCAGAAGTAACCTTTGATTTAATTATAAGAATAAAGTAATAGCAAAGATTGTTGTTAAGACTAACTTGAGGCCTAACAAGATTATTTCATGGACTAGAATTATTCGGTGCATTAGCATATTTTTTCTTGAATTATCATAGTGCGGCATCACATTTTCCTATAGATGTATCTCAAAGCAGCACATGTTGCACAGCTTTCTTATTATCAACTTGCCAAGATGATACCATAGATGAAAATTGTCTTATTTTTGGTCATTCTGTCCATTACAGCCAAATTTTAACTTGCACTACATAGCTGCTAAAAAATCCACTGTGCTTCCAAATTTCAGTTCTATTTTGTCATGCATGCCAAGGTGAAGACAAATGTTTCCTGGTAGTGTTGGGGGACAGAGCATTCATCAACCCTCACCATAGGCATTGCACATAGGGCACAGCCAGTCACAAAATATTTTAGGATGTGGTGTTGGGGACTTTGCCTCTGGCAAGTGCATCCATACCAGGGCAATACTAATTAAGGCGGCCATACTACATATACCGAGGGAATTATAATAGAATTATTGACTAGTGTTTGTACATGTCCCTAAAGTTAATAAAATTGTGGGGACCTCACTGGTTGTGCTTTAACTGAAATTCAAAGGTTGCCTCTCTAGAGTCCACAAACCTTGTTGTCTCAAACCATTGCAAATGTAAACAATATTGTGAGCTTTCGGAAAAGTACGACAAAATACCCCGGGGGCTTGCCCCCACTAGGGAAATACTCCAAGGGAAGGGGGTCAGGGGGCTTGCCCACGATAGTGGGTTCGGAAGGTATGCCCCTGGTAGGGAAAATACCCAAGGTAAGGGGGTCAAGGTTAGGTTAAGTTAAGAACTGACTCGGAATTTGCATTTTTTCCCCATATAATCACTTTTGATTCCACTATTTCTCCCATGTGTGTGTCCCACCCCTTCCAACCCTCGATTCCCTACAGGTCACCCAAGATTGAAAGGGGAAGGAGAAAAAAAACATAACAGTAATGACTTCTCCTTATTTCTTATCCTAGATTATGTCACTCATCTACTGGTCTACTAAAAAATATGTGGGTACAACAGTTATAATGTGGTGCACAAAATGTTAATTGCCTGCAATTCTATCTCCTAATACTGACCATCGTCTTTTATCTTGCCTGGATTTTCACGTCTGCACTTCGTGCTGTCACCTTTATTGATAGGTTTAGTTGACTAAACTATAAATATTTTCTATAATTCTGCTGAATTTATGGATAATCAGATCCGTGGTCTAGTTCAGAAGTCTGCCCAGTGGAATTACAAAAACAAACCCAAAAGTTATATTCCACTTCCTCCACACATACCTTTCTTCAGTGTCAGAGTGTGGGAACTGAGAACTTTGTCGTGCCATGGGTGTGCAAAAATCTTGGCTGCCTTTTTGCATGAGAGGGCCCTGGCCAAACATGTAGGCAAGCGCAGTGTTGTGCCAGTGTCGCCAGTCGTGTCTGCACGTCTGGACTCTGCGAAACCGGAGTGGTCAAAAGTGGTTTCAGCCCAAAAAGCATTTTACGTCTACGTATTTTAACCTTCGAGTCCAGTCGAACTGTAGCATTATATTTATTTATTTATTTCAGCATGTCACCTTCTCAGAATGGATATTTTCGACAAACCCTTAAATACTTTAACTCTTCCCACTTTCAGCCTCCATGTTTAATTTACAAATGAGCAAAAATACAAACAGAAAAATTGGCGTCATAAAAATTTTACAAGAAAATCCGTGCCTACCCGGCTTTTTGGTGTCAGAAAGGAAATTCAGTGATTGTGCGATTCTGGCAACACTTCCAGACCTGTCTGGTAAACCATACGCAACCTAATCATTTTCCAATTTCTACTCTATGTTAGTTTTAATGTTAGAATGGCGGCTAGAACATGTGCATCTACAGACGAAAGTACAGAATTAAGTGAAAAAGAGGGCGACTTTGTATTGAAGAGAACTCAAGGTAAGTCTAACTGTCATAAACGACACATCAGAGCAGACGATGCAATCAGCTGATTTGGTTTGGTTTGATGTAATGTTTTGCTTATTTTCTCCCATGCTCTCATTTCCGAGCAGTGCATATATGGCTTTAAGTAGATATGACCAGGGCATCTTGAAGGAAATTTGAAAAAAAAAATGTACTGATCGGTGTCCATGCTATTAATCGCCCTAATCATTCAATGTCTACGTAACTGTAAAACCCAACCTACGAAAGGATTTAAATGGGGAAAATGCGTCTTCAGTTCGGTTAGTGTTATTTCCCGGGAAGTTGACGCAGTACGTATTTAAAACAATTGTTAGAGAATACTGCTGAAATCACTTCGTATCAATTGACAGTACACAATATACGCATTATTTGACAGGTAAAAGTTCTACACGATCTGATGTTGAGTGAAACACAGGCTGTAATGTAAGTGTATCTATTCATCGCAGAAACATCTGCTGGGAGAGTATCGCAGTGTTTCTGTCTCCCATCGCTCGAGTCTAAGGCGTTCTGCGCATTATTATTGTTTTTTTATGGAGGGTACCCAGGTAATACCATTTATGCACATGCTCCAATTACAGCAACGATATATGTTTTTTATCGGCTTTAAATGAACATTTTAATTAACTTAATTATATCACAACATTTCTCTTAAAATTAATAATATTCATTACCCTTAATGGCATATAACAAGTTCAAACTTTATATACACACATGTTATTGGCATTATACAAAATCGAAGAACTGACCGGGTGTTTTTGAGGAAAAGTTTCTAAATGTTACCGATGATTCTATAAAAAAACGAAAATATTGTCAGTGTTCATATTTTGTTTCTTTGATCTCTAGATACAGAATGATATAGAAATATATTTAACGCATTTCCATTGTAAAATATAAACAGCTAGGCAAGATCATTCTGTATCCAGAAATCAAAGAAACAAACCTTGAACACGGAATTTTTTTCGTTTTTATAGTCATTAGAATTATTTGAAAACTTTTTCTGTTAAATCTTTGGCTTTGATAGAAGTGAATATAGTACATTTATAGATAAATCTTGTAAAGTGAATTAATTCTAATAAACATGCTCATAGAAAGTCGATATAAATATACTGTGGTCGAACGATATGTTTAAATGGTATTACCTGGATAAAAGGTCTCCTCCACAAGGAGAATGAAAACCGATGCCCTGTTAAGGAAGCACCAGCATAGCAGCTTAAAAAAAATAACCCCTGACCAATTTATGTACATTATGCTCCAGTCTTTATTTCCATACTAATGACCATATCTGATTCGATATTTACACATTTGGGAACTAAAAGAGAGACAGGCTGACAGAGAGGGGTGGGTCGATGTGTGAAAGAGAAAGAGAGAGGGGGAGGCGGAGGGAAAGCGAAAGGTAAAGAGACACGCGGAGGGGAGGGAAAAGAGATATATAGACGTACAGAGAAAAGAAAGTGAATTTCTGGACAAGTCTGGAACGGTCACTCGTATATTATTGATACTTGTGCGTACTGCGTTCAATGTTTTTTCCTTAACTCTCCCTATGCCTGGCAGTGCATTAAGCAGCCAATCAGTGTTTAAGACGAGCAATGATGTCGTTAACCAAACTCCAAACATGTTAGACCTTCTTATATATGTATATATAAAAAAACTAGAAAAACGGCATAATTTGGCGGGGTATGACTTTTCACGTACATATTCATTTCTTGCAAAACAGTCAGGTGCTTCAGTACAAATTTCGTGATACCAGAACTAAAATAGTGCTGCAGTAGATCTGATTATTAATTTTATTCATCAGATTTTGTTCATTATCGTACTTAACATCAATTTTTTTTATTAATATTGATGCAGGCAACAGCAGCTCTTGCAAAACAATTGCATCAAATGATAAAAGAGATGCGGGTGCATTTTATGTTATTGAATGTTGTTACATTATTTGTTTAATAATGTATTTATTGTATTATGCTGTGCATTGAACAAGAAAGTTAACTCGGGGAATCCTATAATCATCAGAATCTGACCTTAGCCACTCTAACTGTAATCTGATATTCAACCGTGTATGATAGTGTATGGTTCAATTTTATTATTTATATTCGTTTTCTTCATCATCTAATGTTTAGAAAACGGCAGAAATGCTGTTTCTACGGCTGGCCGCTTTTTCGTAGCAGCTCTGCCTTTAGTGATGCCCAGCTTGAAGACCCAACTGAAGTGATCTCGGATGAAAATTCTGCAGTGATGACGTTCGGTCTGCCACATATCAGTGTTTAAATTACTTGAAAATGGGGAAAATATTTTAGTGTTGCTTTAAATATCTATCACTCATCAAACCATTTCTAGCCATAAGAATAGTAAAAATAGCCTATGGAAAAAAATCCGTAGTGACGTCACCATCCATCGGTATTTTGTTTCCGTTTAATAAACGAATTTCCATGGAATTCCAGCCCATGGGCCGCATATTCAAAAGGGCCTTAAACTTCGGGCACACTGGAAGCCTTAATTGTCCTGCGGCGACTCTAGGACTTCGTTTCGTATACACAAATATTTTTCGGCGCCTTATCATCATCATCGTGGAGCTAACGCCAACGGGGGCACATAGCCGCATCCACCCTTTGCTTGTACCTGCGAGTGTCCCTTATGGCAAGCCACCAGGCAGGGACTCGGCCCATCTCAAGCTCCTCACGACAGGTTTGATCGATCTGCCCAAGCCACGACTTCCTAGGTCGTCCCACAGGCCTGCTCCACTCAGGGTTGTCTCTAAGAGACACAACCTGGTGGGCAGGATCATCCTAAGAGAAGCAAGCCAGGTGGCCGTAAAGCCAGTTTGACACATGGTCCCACCAACGATACCCCATGATCCGGCGCAAGGACCTATTACAATACCTATTACACTACCGTATAGCAAAATTGGCACTATCAGGGCCTTGAAGACACATAGCTAGGTCCTTCTGCACAGGTAACGACATCTCCAAATACTCTTGTCGAGAGAGGTCATGAATCCTGCTGGGGTCTGCTGACTTCCTGGTCTGACAGCCCAGAGTTGTGAACTACACCACCAAGGTATGGAAAGATCTCTGTGATTTCAATGTCCTCGCCGCAAGCACGCACCAACTGCACAGGTTCTCCTAGCAAGTCCCCTAAGTCGTGGATCTTGGTCTTGGTCCAGGAGACCTCTAGACCCAATGGCTTCGCTTCATTACTAAATGCATCGAGAGCCACCACTAAGGATTCCAAAGACTCAGATAGAATAGCAACATCAGCGCCTTATACCAGCTTTGAAACCTGCAGCGCTGTAAAGCGCTTACGGTGTAATTCCAGGCGGCTCCTAAGGCGGGGATCAACTGGTCTTGTGTGCATGCAGGTCTGGCCATAAACACTGCTATCTGAGCGGAATCGCGTCACTTTGGTGCGAAATCTGGGGGCTGAAGGGAGCGAGTAATAACACTACTCAGACTGTTCTTTTCTTTGGGTATCTCTGGGCATTCCAGGGTGCAATTAAAAGCTATTGTCTGTAATTCACTTCAAGAAATTATCAGTATCTATATAGTCAACCAAAGTTATATCGTAGGATGGGGAAGGAGATAACAGAAAATGGTATCAAATGAACAAAAGTAGTGTTACATACTGGCAGTCAACGATTTGCACATTTGACTGATTGTACAGGCGATGCTTATCGGCGTTTATTTGTAGGTTTATATCGCATATTTTACATGGGTTCAGTATTGCCATTCTCATGCTGCAGCTTAGATATGGTAAAATAAACCGAAGACATGGTATATGTAAAGTCCAAATTTTTTAGATGAATTTATTATAAAACAGATCATATAACCAATGTATCACAACACGCATTACATAAAATCAAAGACAAGTGGAGCTTATTTATATGCATTTTACACATATATACAAATATGTATAAGTATGTGTGTAAATATATATAAATACACATATTTACGTATATATATATATATATATATATATATATATATATATATCACTGATTAATAAATATATACATATATAAATATATACTTATTTAGACTTTGAGCTACCGCGCCTTAACGCGTTTGAGCATCCGCCCCAGGCCGCATTTTTGTAGAAGCATGCTGCCGTTTTCTATGTATTAAATGATCAAGAATACGTATATAAATGATAAAATAGAATCTTATCCTATTATAAACGGATGAATATCAGATTTACAGTAAACTCTAATTAGATAAATGATGATATGACAGTCATTTGAATGAAAATTTCATCTACCATTTCCTTCTTTTGAGGGACATGAAAGAGTTACCGGAGCCCTCAAGGTCTCACTGCTCAAACCATGATTGTAAGATTCCCTGCGTTACTTTCTTGTTCACTGCACTGCATAAATCAGTTTACAATAGGTGCATTATTAAGCAGTGATGTAACAACTTTCAACATGTCTTTATAGAGAATGTAAATGCATAACTTGAGAAAATGCGACACTGAACCTGTAAACTTGATTTATCTAAAAAGTATACGACTATTCACAGCGAGTATGTTGCAGGGCTGAAGGTACAGTCACTCTATGGGACTGTGGCCCTGCCTTTGGTGATGTCCAGCTGAAAGGCCCAGCTGAAGTGACATCAGATGCAATTTCTGTTGTAATGGCATTCGGTCTGCCACATCATAGTGCATACCATGATGGTTTAGGCAATTTTGTCTTTAATTTATTTGAACATGGGAAAATATTTCAATATTGGTTTAAATACTTTTCATTTGCATCAAACCATATGTAGTAATTAAAATAAAAATATACTATCCGTCGGTCGTCTGTTGTTTCCTTTTAGCAGACGAATTTCCGTAGAATTCCAGTCATTAGGGAGGGCTGCCGCTTTTCCGTAGTAGAATTTCTACCGCTTTCTAAGCATTAGATGATAAAGAAAACGGATATAGACTATATAAAATACACTAACATAAACAGGTGAATACTAGATTACAGTTACGGTACGCAGGGTTAGTCTGATAATTACAGGATTCCCTGC